GCTGCTGCTGCTGCTTGGTAGCTGCTGCTGATGCTGCTGCTGCTGCTGCTTGGTAGCTGCTGCTGCTGCTTGGTAGCTGCTGCTGCTGCTACTGCTGCTGCTGCTGCTGCTGCTGCTTGGTAGCTGCTGCTGCTGCTGCTGCTGCTTGGTAGCTGCTGCTGCTGCTGCTTGGTAGCTGCTGCTGCTGCTGCTGCTGCTGCTGCTTGGTAGCTGGTGCTGCTGCTTTGCTAGCTACTCCTGCTGCTGCTTCTGCTGCTGCTTGGTGGCTTCTGCTTGCTGCCGCTACCGCTGCTGGTTACAGTTACTGTTGTTGTGACTGTTGCTGCTGTTGCTGCTGCGGTTGCTGGGGTGGTTGTGTGTTGCCATGTGTTGGCTGTGTTGGGGTCGTATTGGGGGGGCGCTGTTGGCACTCTCCTTTTCCCTTGGCCATGGCATGTTGCGATTCCCGGCCAGGCTTTTGCTGCCTAAAGAGCCCCAGCGTTGTTTCTTTGCCTAGCTTTCGCCACCCCCCTCTGGGCCACAAGTCCTTTACATAGGGGAACGCCCCAAAGATCTCCATCAATGTGAAAAGTGGATACTTGGGCCTGGGATCACCTTGTGAATCTGTTGAAACATGGACTTGTTGCGGGATCTGCTCATTCTTAGCACGAGCTTCGATCGGAGGTTGCAAGTCCACGGCCTCCACCGGTGGCCTTCTGCAGATTTCCTGGATGCCAGAGGTCTGACCCACTGCGAGATGTCCAGAGTCAGACATGTTCGGGACCTTCAACCTTATCATCACCATAACTGGCGAATATGAGTCAACACTTCGGGGTAGCCAAGTATGGCTGGACAGCCTTTCGATACTCCTGAACTGCAAGGCAGCTGATTCTAAGGTCCATTTCGTACCATAAGAATGGGTACCATAAAGATAAACAATATATGCCATAGCCACCGCGTTGTTGACCCTGTAAATGATCAGTGTGACAACGTCTTCATTTGGAGACTTGCCTTTACATCAATGTATGCTGCAGATTAGGAGACCAATATCCTTTGCATCGCTTCCGTGAAGTGCGATGATCGGCGAGCATCCAAGCCTTTGCACGCCGGCCCAGTGGGTTTGAATCTTTTTCGTCCGCTCAGCAAGGCTTTTGAATGCCTATCAGGGGAGAGAATGAGATGCCGAAGACCCTTGGGTTCTATATGGAAAAGCAGATATCTTGGCCTGTGGTTAGGCCCTCCATGTTTTGAACACCGAATCTTGTGGCTGGGATCGATGCAGATTGTGGTGTTCTTTGTGTGATCAACATATTGTCTTCGTATGCTGTGGTCATTGGAATTGCCACATCGCTTCAAACAGTGAACAGAGACCCCAGCACCGCAGTGACCACTGCGTAAACCCCAGCACCGCAGCAGGCTCCTCAGAGTTGGTGTCTGGTGATCCAAGCTCTTCCAGAGTTGCCCAGGAGCAATATTGCAGCGAAGGAGACAAAAGACGCCATGAAAGAGACTCGAAGGCCAGAACAATGGGAGCGTCTGTGTTCAAGTGTTCAAAGGTTCCAGTTTCTTTCCTTTGTCACTCTGCTGGACTGTGCTGTTTCAGGGACTCCCCGGTTCGGCTTCACTGCCGATCGCCAGGCCCAGTCTCACCAATGAGCGCGGCAGCCCCATGACCACTCCTCGAGGCGGGTTGATTTCTCGGCAGCGGAATGAGCGGAGCGAGCGGAACGAGCGGAACGTGGGTTTGAGCCAGTGTCTTGAGTTTTCCAAATAAAGCAACATGCAGAAGCATGCAGTTGTGCAATTAGGATCAATTTGGATCCTTGTATTGTTTCTAGATGGTATGAGAGTCTATCAATCTGCTTGTGGGCGACTATGGATTGAGAAAAGGGCTTCTGCAGCTCGAAACTCGCCCTGGATTGGCGATGCGGCGCGATGCGTGGAGATATTTTATGGCAGTCTTGCGATTTCGCAGGCTGCGCAATAAAGTTATTGATAGTCATGAAATTCCGGAGATCATTGGTACAGGGATAGAGCTCTCAGTGGCTATGGTGTTGTTTTGACCCGAGATGCACCACTGCCACACCTGCCACTTCACCGACCCTGCGCTCACCAGGGGGAACCGTCCGTCGCAAGCCGCTGAATGGAGCTGGAGCGGAGGGAGAAAGCAGAGATCCGAAGAGTAGGAACTGACGATGACCATGCTGACTGATTGGTCCTTGCACAACTAAGTGTATGTTGATCGCGCGTTTTTCATGTGTTTCATGGGAGAACACACAAAAAAAACATGGACAGCATCCTGCATTGCCCACAGCCATGTGGTTCCTTGGATTCTTGGACGCGACATGATTCTGCTTTCCCTTTTCTTCCTTGTAGCACCGGTCGGCCCGCCAGGAGGCTTCACACGACCGGTCTCCTCCCGAGGCGAATTCGGCGTCCCTGATCTTGGGGTGCTTCAAGATGGTTTATCAGCAAGAGTGGCAGACATCACGAAGCTTTTGACCAGGTTGTAGCAACCAACGTGTCATCCTTTGTGCGACAAATGGATGGGTTGCGTTTGGAGATTGCGCTTGTGCCAGGAGAATCCAACACAGGAACTCCCGCCACTGTCGAAGGCAAGGAGTCAGTCCTTTTTTTGCTCCGTCTGTGCTCCGTTTGATGACTGCTCTTTATTTGCACTGCCTCGTTCATCGCCAATTCCTTGGCGAAGCATCATTCCATGGCCGGTGCAAAAGGCTCTTGGGATGACCAAAGCCCCAAGGAACTTGATGCGCCACTTGACCATTTCGCTTCCGGATCCGGAACGTTGCTTGGTTCGTTGCGAATGTCGCCAGGGCGGAAGGAGAGTCGCCGTATGGTGAGTGGTCCAGCCGCTCGTGGAGGTGCGGTCCGACTGGTCGAGCGCCAGGGCGGTGTCGAGCTTGCTGAAGGTGCCCCGCCCTGGGCCAAAGACCACCCCTCTTCAGTGGTGGTGGTAGCCTTTATTATAGTTATAGTGATCCCCAAATAGATAGAAGCGGTGTCCAATACATTTTGAGTGGGGAGATCAGGAAGATCTACTTTTCTATCTATGACGTGGGGGTCGAAAAAGAGCCTTTGTAAGATCAACTCAGTACGTCGTCTGAAAGCGCAAAATCCGTTGGCCTAAAGGATCCAAGACCGGTGCGCAGCCCACAGCCGCTCGCCGCCGCTCGCAGCCGCCAGGGAAGACCATTCCCATGGCGCGAACTTTGAAGCGCAATCCACGCTTCCCAAACAAGGCTTGCGCTGGGTTGGGCCACTTCCTTTGGTAATTAATCTTTATACTGTGACTGTGATATAGACAAAGACGGATGGTTGCCTTTTCGATACCATTAAGATACAGGCCATGCCAATATTGAAGTCCCGTAGTCAAGGAAAGGACATAGAACGAGCTGAACGAACTGAGTTGAATTATCGCGTGAGGACTAGAACACCTAAGATGACTTGCAATATTGATTGATGTTCAATACAAGAGGGCTCGTTACTGTCGTTCCTTCGCTTGAAAATATATTGACAGATCCAGTAGAGTAGAGCGTGATCACTCTACTGGCTTTAGCTGAGTTGCGGCTTGGGACACCAGCCCAAGCCCACGATGCTGGCATTCAGGTGTCCACCCTCGATGAGGTGATTCCGACTACCAGTGAGGGAGAGTTGCAGGTGAGACGGCTCAGTGCGCTGAGGAAATCGTTGGGATGTGTTGGGGTCGTTGGGACCAGAGGAGCCGAACAGCTTCAAAAAGTAATGGAGACAAGAAATGGAACGGGCTCGTCGTGTACCTTTGCGTCACACCTTCCAGCTTTTATGAAGGCGCTGCATGCTGCATGTCATAAAAGAGGGCCAGCCAGGATTTCAAAACGTAGTAACAACTCCATCGCTACTAGTAACAAGTGCCTTACTAGTAGTAACAAGAAGCTAGTAGAAACAAGTGCCACGCTAGTAGGTTTGTGGCAAATCACACAGTCCTCCTGCCCATTCCACCCCGGCCGTTTGCTTCGTGCGGCCAGGCCCGGATCGAACGAGTGCCCTCGCCTGCCACGCAACGGCATCGCTCGGTGGAGGCCCACCAAACCACCCAACAAAGTGAAGGGCCAGTCACACGTCAACCAACTCTGCAAGAGAGAAAACTCCGAAGAATCCTCGTCAAATTCGCACACATCGAATCTGCTTCCCAAACGCATGATGGAAAGCACGTCTCGCTGCGGACCGTGCTTGTTCTGGAGGCAAGCCATGTGCCATCGGCGCGCAACAGCCAGGAACGGCTGTGTGGGATGGGCGGGGGTTGTGGAGTTAGTGAAGAGGGCAGCTGACCAAAGTTGCCAAAGTGTGGATGACGTTTGGCGCGTTGAGCTCGGAGCTGGATCGGATTGGACTGGGACTGCTGGTTTGAAGATCCACCAGTGTTCTCAACAGAATCGAGAGTAGCTGGACAATGCCAGGATGGAACTCCAGTTGTCGAGGAGGAGTGGGCTGCAAAGGCACAGAGTTTCCAAAGATTCTCCAAAACATGAACAGCAACTTATAGTACGGGGCTTGTGAAGAGCTTCTCCGGTTTTCGACAGCTTGTGGTGATTGTGAGCAGTTCCTTCCCACATACCCTGAGTGCTTCCCGCCTTCAGGTGGCCCGCTACCAGCAGCACCAGGCACAGTCCCTTGCTGCCGTTCCAAGTTTGAGCCCACGAAGCACCAAGCCGCTCTCGTTCGCTCTTGCAAGCTATTTCAGGTCCCCCAAGCTTTCGGGTTGGCCGATAGCACCGGTATTTGGTGTTCACCGGGTGATTTTGTGGCTGAGACCCGAAGCTGGGGTTTCAGGAGGCCATATGGATGTTTCTTCCCCAAACGGAACGCCAGACCTGGGCGCCGGCGCCGGGATCCAGTACGCCGCTGTGGCGCCTGGAGCCCCAAGTTACGGAGCCGAGAGCTGCGAGCCTGTCGTGAGCTGTGAGACTCAGAAGTGAGATGGAGATCGAGTTATGCCTTGCTTTCATGGTACCTAGTCAAGTACAGACTGGGTCAGTTTCAGACTTGGCGCTAACTTTTCAGAATCTCTCCTATCAAAGTGCACAAGGAACTCTCCAGCAGTGGGCTGTGCGAGGCCTCCAAGCCAATCCGCTTGGACATACAACATCCAACTCCATCAGCTATGTTGCCGCTGCAAGGTGGGCGGGGGGTGATATTTGGAATGCTTGGCTCACCGCAATGCCATATGCCATATGCCTATGCAAAGCGGATGGCCTTTGGTGGCAATCTCACCAGCAGTAAGTCTGAGCTGAGTGGGTGTAGTCCTCGAACCTCTGGAGATCACTGTGATCGGTCCTTCCTTCCGCACGATCCGCTCCATGCGCACGAGCGGACCAGCTCCAGCTCTGGAGTGATCCGCTGCTGGAATCGAGCCAGGACGGTGCAGAATGCACCAAATGCATATCCCAGTGCAAAGCCAAGAAGTGTTCTGGTTATACTGGATCACATGATTACCCGTATTCCGGTCTTTCCCACAAGACTCAACGCACAACCAGGACAGTTTGCATGCATTGTCGTTGTTCCTTTGATTGAATACTGAGGTTCTCACAGCGCTACTGCAGCGCCGCAATCAATTCAAGGCAGGGGTGGGCAGTTCTTTTGTTTTTCAGAATGCGGAAGGGCACTGAAACCAAAGACTACTCAAGCCAAGTGGCCCAATGGTGGCCCGGTAGCCAACCAAATTGCATAAAAGGAATCCTCAGGGCCAAGATCTCTAGTCAAATGTCATAATGTCTGTTTGCATGTTTGTGTGCAACCCTCCGTCTCGCCAGGGCTCTCTTCATGGCCCACAGTTTGGGTGCCACAAGCAGTGCCCGTCCGGGAGCTCGTAGTTCATGCGACGAAAAATGCAGCACTGGTCAGGTTGGGCTGCCTGAAAAAGGGATCAAAAGGGGGGCAGGTGGTGATTCAGCCATGTGAAAAGTGGTGATTCGGCTTCGGCATCCCACGGAGTCATCGAAAGTCATCGAAAACCGAAAACGAAAAACGTGTTGCAATTCGGTGGAGACTCTAGGCGATCATGGTCATGAGTCATGGTTATAAAATGTGGAGCGTTTGTTGTTGCCCAGCACAAAAAACTGTTGTCACTCCACGGCCTCAGGCCACGCCACTGACCCGCCACAGCATGGGTCAGACACTAATGCGGCACTGGCATTTTTGTGCTGAGGGTTTTGTGATAGAGGTGACATAAAAATGAGTTGAAGGATGTTTTCCTACCCTAACTTTCTTGTGAATTAGCCCTGATGAGAAAGCTCAGCAAGTTTAATCGAACCCGAACAAGCGTTGCTTATGGAAACCGAACAGTTTATGGAAACCGAACTGAGACGAATCAAACCTTGCTCAGCTTTGTCACCCACATGAAATTGACACCAGAGCTTGTTGCTCCAGCTGCCAGTTCTGGAGCGGTGAACGCGCCTGTGAACGCGCAGGCGAATCGTGTGGACGGGTGTTGAAATAGACAAGAAGTACAACCTGTGATGTTGATAGGCACATGATGCAAGACTTAGAAGCAACACTTCAATGGCATTGGCGAAACGGCGAAACAACTCAGAGAAGCGTGGCAGGCAGTGATCCACCGTGTGCCTGCCGGACCGCAGGCATTTGATGGAATATTCGCTTTCATTGGGGCATGATGTGTTTGCTGAGATTCTGTGAGGCTTTCTTGCATCGCTGGCCGTTCCCCTGAATGGCATCATTGCTTCACTACAATTGCCAAGATCGTGGATTGATTTGAAATTTGAAGACATTACAAACATATTTTACTACTAATACTATTGTATATTATTATTGTTATTATCAATTATTGTAAGCTTGGCGCACCGGTGATGCCATAAGGGTTGTGTACCGACGGCGATATCTTTGCTGCTCAGCGCCGCTGACCCCCGTTGTTGTTGTTGCTGTTGCTGTTGCTGTTGCTGTTGTTGTTGTTGCTGTTGTTGTTATATAGAAGCAGCTGCCCAACATAGTTGTCACATGCTGTAACTCTGGAACTTCAAGGGGACAAGGTTAGGGATACGACCGAAAGTCTGATACGACCGAAAGTCTGAGGGAACGTTGGTTTTGCAAGTACCTGGACTTGTTGGATTTGTTTCACTGAAGCCTGGGTTGGTCCATTTCTAGTTTTTCCCGAAAGCATTGCGAAGGGTTCTTCCGGAAAATCTCTTGAACACTTACACTTCTATACTTACACTTGACTTACACTTCTATATATACTTACACTTGAACACTTACACTTCTATACTCTTACACTTCTATACACTTGCACTTCCATACTTACAATGGCACTGAAGTATCCAAGGGAAAGTTTGCAAGTGAAAGCATCCAAGTGCAAGTATGCAAGTGTAAGTATCCAAGTGTAAGTATCCAAGTGTAAGTAGTGCAAGTATGCAAGTGTAAGTATCCAAGTGAAAGTATCCAAGTTTAAGCATGCAAGTGTTAAACTTTCACGGGAGATATCCTACTGAAAAACATTCCCCCACTTTATAAATTCTCTTTAAAGGCGGAGGGTGGGACGAACAGCGTCAACCGAAAATGCAACCCTCTGCGGAGATCGTGCGTGTGGAGTGCTCGAAATGCAGGCGAGAGTGCGATTTGTCCGGTCCGCGCGCAACCCTCTGCGGAGATCGTGCGTGTCGAGTGCGCGAAATGCAGGCGAGAGTGCGAT